GCCCGGGCCCCGGGGACACTGCCATGTGAGGCAGGCCGGCTGGGGGCCCGGCCATGGCCGGAGAGCGGCCCCCACTGCGGGGCCCTGGGCCCGGGCCCGGAGAGGCGCCGGGGGAGGGTCCTCCGGGCCCGGGGGGCGCGGGCGGAGGCCCGGGCCGGGGCCGGCCCTCCTCCTACCGGGCTCTGCGCAGCGCCGTGTCCAGCCTGGCGCGCGTGGACGACTTCCACTGCGCCGAGAAGATCGGGGCCGGCTTCTTCTCCGAGGTCTACAAGGTAGGACCGGCCGGGAGGGCAGAGGGGCGGGGCCGGGCTGCCAGCCGCCGGGGCTCTGCCCGCGCGACTCGCCGGCCCGCGTCGCCCCCAGGTCCGGCACCGACAGTCAGGGCAGGTCATGGTGCTGAAGATGAACAGGCTCCCCAGTAACCGGGGAAACACGCTCCGGGAGGTGCAGCTGATGAACCGGCTCCGGCATCCCAACATCCTGAGGTGAGCGGCCCAGCCCCTCCCGGGCCGGCGGCGGCCAGAAGGCAAGTGGCGCCTGGCCGCAGCTCCCACAGCCCGCCCTTCTCTTCCAGGTTCATGGGGGTCTGTGTGCACCAGGGGCAGCTGCACGCTCTCACAGAGGTGAGGATGGGCCGGGGGCAGTCATCAGGACAGGTGGACAGGTAGGATAAGGAGAGGCGGCAGAACCTCCCTTGGGGCAAAGCACAGAAAGAGGTCACAACAGGTGCCCACCCCTGGACCCGCAGTGACTCGGGAGAGAAACTTCCAGCAGTGATGGAAAGGTATAGATCTGTGCTGTCACAGTAGCCGCTAGCCCCCCGGAGGTTGGGTGGCATTTAAAATGTGGCGGATGTGACTGAGAAACTGAGTGTTTAGTTGCACTTCATTTCAGTACGTGGAGATGGCTCAGGGAACCCTGGTGGTGCGGTGGCATTAGCACTGGGCTGCTAACAGCAAGGTTGGTGGTTCAAACCCACCAGCCCCTCCGAGGGAGAAAGATGAAGCCACCTGCCCCGTACAGCTGTAGTCTCAGGAACCCTGTGTGGGCTCACTGCGAGCCTGGATTCACTCCGTGGCAGTGGGGGGGCGGGGTGTTGATGGTTCTTGGCTGGTGGAGACCTTATTGGACAGTGGTTCTGGAACATAAGCTGTGCCTCTGGATATGCCCCTACATTGCTGTGCCTCTGGATGATACATGGGGGGCCTGAGGCACAGGAGTAAGCATTGATGTTCATTCCTCTTTTTCCCCCTCCCCCGCCATAACCTAGTACATGAATGGGGGGACGCTGGAACAGCTGCTCAGCTCCCCTGAACCCCTGTCCTGGCCTATCAGGCTCCACCTGGCCCTGGACATCGCCCATGGCCTGCGGTACCTGCATGCCAAAGGTGTATTCCACAGAGACCTCACATCCAAGGTAGGCCGGCTGCTTGGTTGGGGGCCTGAAGAGAGTTTGAGACCGTCAGGCGATAACTAGCCCATGGATACAGAAGTGTGTGTAAAAGGGACATTAGGACGTTGGATTATATGTTAGGGCATTGGAGAATGTCCGGGGCTGGGGTGCTCTGAGAGGCCTAATGTCCCGCTGAGAGATGGGTGGTGTTACACAATTTGGGTGCTTTGGAGAACAGGGATTGGGGCTCTGGTGGAATGTCTGGGCTTTGGCGGGGTGTAGCGCCTAGACAGCAGAAGGTGATGGGTGTTTGGCGGTGCCATATGTATGTTTCAGAACTGTCTGGTCCGACGGGGAGACCAAGGCTTCACCGCTGTTGTGGGTGACTTTGGGCTGGCTGAAAAGATTCCTGTGTATAGGTGAGGTGGATACCCCTCATCCCCTAGACCATCCAGAGAACCCCTGCCTGAAGGAACCATCTAGAATGCTGGGCCCCCAGGGACCTTTCCCTTAGGGTGGGAGGGCCTTCACATCATCCCCTTTTGCTTGGGGTGGGTGGGGCTTGCCTGAGTGGGCTGCTTCTGACCACCCTGGCCCTGCCCCCTGCAGAGACGGGGCAAGGAAGGAGCCGCTGGCAGTGGTGGGCTCCCCATATTGGATGGCTCCAGAGGTGCTACGGGGCGAGCTGTATGATGAGAAGGTGAGCCGTCAGCCCTTTGGGTTTCCAGAGACCCCTGACATACTCAGGGGCCCAGCCCAAGCTCCTCAGCAAACCCACCAGATAGTCAGGAGCCCTGAGAGCCCAGTTGAGCCCTAGAAGTGTGGTGGGTTACGCATTGGGCTGCTAACTGCAAGGTGAACAGTTTGAAAGATGAGGCTTTCCATTCCCATAAAGAGTCCCAGTCTCAGGGACCCACAGGGTTGATACGAGTCGCCATCAACTCGGTGGCAACGAGAAGATCGCACGTGTCCTTCACAAGTAGCATACATATGCACACGCACACACGCACGCACACTGCCAGGACTCCCCCTGACCTAGCGCCTCCTGCTGACTTGGTCTCTTCCCCCCAGGCTGATGTGTTCGCCTTTGGGATTGTCCTCTGTGAGCTCATCGCCCGAGTCCCTGCAGACCCTGACTACCTGCCCCGGACTGAGGTGACTGTGTCGGGGTTTGGAAAGGAAGGAGGGAACCCGGGAGGTTGGGCTCCTGACGGAGGGCAGAAGTAGAGCCCAAGGAAGGCTGATGTGGAGGCCTCTCCTCTCTGCGGTCCCCACAGGACTTTGGCCTGGACGTGCCAGCATTCCGCACTCTGGTGGGGGATGACTGCCCGCTGCCCTTCCTGCTCCTGGCCATCCACTGCTGCAGTGTAAGACCCCTCCATGCCCTCCCCACCCGTCCCTGTCCCCAACCACGAGCTGACACAGCTGCCCTTTGAGTCTCCGGTAATTGGAGGAGCACTTAGAGGAGCTACCTGTATTCCTACCCATCAGCTGGAACCCTGTGCCCGTGCCCCCTTCACGGAAATCACCCAGCACCTGGAATGGATCCTGGAGCAGCTGCCTGAGCCTGTCCCCCTGGCCAGGGCTCCCCCAAATCCCAGTCTGGGTAAGTGGGCATGACTTTGACCATTCTCAAGGCCTTCGGCCTCAATCAGTGTGTTAGCTGAGAAGGATGGGCGAGGGGTGGCTCAGAGACGATGGCTTTATCTCTTGAAGCCTGAGGGAGCCGAGGAAGAAAGATGTAAAAGGAGCTAGAGATGACAGCCCCCTTCCTAAAGCGTCTGGTGGGAGTCCCTGCTCTGAACACTGCCAAGTGCTGACAGAGTGATGCAAGACTTCTCTGTCCACAGGGTCTCTTCCAAGAGGAGGTCTCTCTGCCACGCTTCCCAGGCCAGACCCCCGGCTCTCCCGAAGCCGGTCAGACCTCTTCCTGCCCCCATCGCCAGGATCGCCCCCCACCTGGGGGGACAATCTGACCCGAGTCAACCCGTTCTCACTGCGGGAAGACCTCAGGGGTGGCAAGATCAAGCTCCTGGATATACCCAGCCAGCCGGTCACCCCACTCCCTCTCGTGCCACCATCACCGCTGTCCTCCACCCACCTACCCTTGGTTACCACTCCGGAGACCCTGACTCAGCCTGGGACACCTGCTCGCCGCTGCCGCTCATTGCCCTCCTCTCCTGAGCTCCCCCGACGCCTGGAGACAGCTCTGCCAGGTCCTGGCCCTCCCCCCAGGGGCCCCACGGCTGAAGAAGGAATGGCGTGTGAGGGCAGCAGCCCTGAGCCAGCTCCCCCGGGACCAGCGCCCCAGCCACCCCTGGCCCTGACCACAGACAACTTCATCAGCACTTGTTCCTCTGCCTCCCACGCCTGGTCCCCTCGAGCAGGACTTCCCCTCAACAACAACCCCCCAGCCGTGGTAGTAAACTCGCCACAAGGTTGGGCTGGGGAGCCCTGGACCAGGGCCCGGCATAGCCTGCCCCAGGCGGCAGCCCTGGAGCGGACAGAACCCTCGCCACCGCCTCCAGCTCCCCGGGAGCCCGACGAGGGGCTGCCCTGCCCTGGCTGCTGCCTCGGCCCCTTCAGCTTTGGCTTCCTGTCCATGTGCCCCCGCCCCACACCAGCTGTTGCCCGCTACCGCAACCTGAACTGTGAGGCAGGCAGCCTCCTCTGCCACCGCGGGCACCATGCCAAGCCGCCCACGCCCAGTCTGCAGCTGCCTGGGGCACGCTCTTAGCAGTGGGGCCTTCGGGCTCCGGCCTGCAACAGTGGACACCCTGGGAGGACAGAGCGCAGGGGCTGGTCAGTGCTGGCCCCACACCGTACCGGGAGTCAGCAGGGACTGAGGGACAGAGCACCGCCTGCCCAGCACACTCCCACGGACATCCCAGAACCAGACACAGGAGACGAACACACGTGCAAATTATTTAAAAGTATTTCAATAAAACTGCCTGGCTGGCTCCGGGCTGCCCCTATCCACTCAGCCCATGCGCCCTCCTCCCCCTCCCCACTTTGCTGTGGGGGGTCTTGGGGAGGCCCAAGTCCCTTCCAGAGGCTTCTTCATCCTTCTCCTAGGAACGGTCCCCTTTCTGGAACAGGGTTTCAAGCAGGCTGTCTAGAAGTGTCGGGTGCAGATCAGGCGGTGAGGGAGCCACCGAGGGAGGTCACCATCGGCCTTACAGGCCGCAGGCTAGGGAGGAGGGACACAGGCTTTTGCTGGCCTCAGTATCTGTAAGAGTAAGGCAGCAGGGAGGTCCCCAGAACCCTCAAGCAGCTCGCTCTACCTCCCCAGGCTCCAGACAGCCACAACCCCAGCCTGCCTTCAGTGTAGGCCTTGCCCGCCCCTCTCAGAGCCTTGCCCTCCTCTACACAAGCAGACAGGCTGCTGCGGAGGCCCCTGAACAGGACTGCCTTCCCCAGGAACCAGTTTTCCCTCTGAGTCTGGAACCCTGCTCCGAGACCCCCTTCCCTAAGTCTCCCATCACACACACACTTACCCAGCTCAGAAGTGCACAAGGTGGTCCCTGTCTGAATCTCTGAGGGATGTCATCTCACAGATGTAGGGTAGCGTGTTTGAACACATAACTTCCTGCGGTGCTGACCACCACTTTTTTGATACAGCACACTCTCCTTCATACCTGTTTGGTGGTAAAGTCAAGCCAGAGTCAGCTCTCGCCCCCTCCTTCTGCCCTCCTGTCTGCACTCACCGTCACTTAAAGCCTCCCTCAAGTCCTAACTCACCCCACCACCCCGACACTGACCATGCCTGAGTGGGGCTCAGGATCCAGTGGCTGGACCCCAACCAGAAATGGCACTGGGACCAGGGAGGGGAAAGTCAAGGTCTTAAAGAGAAAACTAGATGGGAGGTAAACACCTGCGTCCGGGGCCCTGGGGTTGAGCTTGAAGCCACCTCATTGCTCTCTAGTTCACTTCCCTGGGCAGCCCTAGCACCCACCCGACTCAAGACATTTTGGCAGGTTTGTCAAAGGGTGGGAAGGTAGGTTAGGGTGCCAAGGTTCTACGCCAGCTGTGACCTGGCCAAATTCCAATGCAGTGACCACTAGATAGGGTTTCTGAGACACATGCAGAGAGCCTCATCTTTCTCCCTAGGAGCGACGGAGGCCTCTGAAGTGGTGTTTAGCAGCCTGAGCCACACCGCCAGCAGGGCCCCTTGTCACTTCCTCACTACCATCTAGTCCATGTGTCCGACCCTATGGGACGGGACGGAGTCGAACTCCCCTGAGAGTTTCAAGACTATAACGCTTTACAGGTGAAGAAATTCCCATCTTTCTCCTGAGGAGTGGCTGGTGGTTTCGAACTGGTGACCTTATGGATCATGTAACCACTGTGCCACCACTATCAGTTGTGAAACCCTGGCTAAATTCTCAGCTGAGGGAGGGAAAGATGATTTAGGCCCCAACCAAGTAATTACTCCTCCCGGTCCCCCAAATTTTGTGTACATGGGGTGCTAGGTACTGGGGACAGAATAGAGCATAAGACTGCTCTGGACAATTATTAATCAACTGGACAAAAGGGCAATTACAATATTGATTTGTGAGAGATTTCAGGGAGCGGGACCTAGGGAGGAAATCTAAATCACTAGGAAGGGAACATGGTGTTGACCAAAAGTCCTAACACTTACCAAGAGAGTCTATGGCCAGTGAATGGTGTGCCGTCAACCCACTGCCAGGTCTTATCAAACCTGAGGCCAATCCAGTACGAATCAGATAGAGCCTGTGATGACAACAGATCTGAGACTGCTCTGAATTTCGTCTGAGGGGAGATTCAGAGACGCGAGGTTTGTGGACAGTGCTGAGAAATACAGGAAGAAAATAACCACCCTATGGAGGCCTATGCTTGTGGACAAAGGGCTTGTGCCTGCATCTGTCCAGGGTCCACCCTGCAGGGGCAGGCTCACCCTTTAGTTCACCTCCCAGTTGGCGAAGACTGCCAGTCTTTGGAAGGGGACCATTTGATGGACTATTCTGGTCACAGGGAACCCACCCCACCATCCAGCCGACCAGGTACAGATGGTATCTGTCCCTGAGAATCCCTGAACCTCAAAGAAGGCTGTGCAGCAGCCGGGGAACTGGCTAGAAAGCTGGGGTGAGAAACAGGTTGAAGTAGAGATGGTTCATAAATTTATAAAACTTTTACACCAACTCCACTCAGCTCATTGGGCCTCGGGGAGCGCTGTATTGTGATACTCAGGCCCTAAGCAGGTTCCATGGTAAAGCGTTGTGGTCAGCTATCACCACGGGCCTGGCAAGCCCAGCATGCATGCCAGTGCCACGTGTGCCCTGCCATGTCTGAGGGCATATGTTCCTTGACCTGGCAGACCCCAACCTATCAGTGGGTAAGCGTATTCTTACGAAATAGTAAGGTTGTGGAGGCTCTTTGAATGAAGCCAGGTCGGAGGACAGAGATTTGCAATGTTTTCGGCTCTCCTCCCAAGTTTTCTTAGTCGATGAGAAGTAAAAGCAGCGCCCGCTCTTGAGTAGCCAGCCCACAGGACAGCAGGTTTCTAAAAAGCAGAGAGGGTGTGACAGACCCAGGAGAAAGGACAGCCCTGTTTGGGATGAACGTGACCAACCAGCACTCCCCTACAGTAGCGCCTAGCCCGTGCTGGCTCGCTTTCTTTTGCCTCAACTGGAAGTACCAGGCCTGTGGACACTTCCTAAAGGGCCTTCACATTCAACCCGGCTTTCTAGCAATCAGAGGTGTACTTCAGTGGAGTCGACGTCATTATTTCTGACAAATTACAATCTACACCCCCATTTTTGCTAGCCTCACCCAGGCTCCTCATAATTGTTTTTTGGCATCCCCAACTGCATATACACAAGTCTCCCCACGCCCCTCAAGCCATCCCTCCCTCATCCACTCTCCCACAAGCAAACCACATGGTTCCGCTTTCACTCACTGAAATGGTCTCCACTTCCCTTCTCTTCCCCTCAGGATTCATGTCTCCTCTCTCCTGCTTTCCTGACTATCCTTGAGAAATACGCATCCCTTTCTCTCCAATGTCACACCACCTATTCCAGCCCAGCCCAGCCCTCTGCAGTCCTGCCTCCACCCTCCTGGGAGCACTCATTGCCTCTCCCTGCTGTCCACCACACTGCCCTGTCTCCACTCAGCCACCCACTGTGCGTCCATCTTTTAAAAAGTATTATTAAATAATTATATTGGGGGCTCTTACATCTCTTAACACAATCCACACATTCATCCACCGTGTCAAGCACATTTGTACATATGTTGCCCTCATCATTCTCAAAGCATTTTCTTTCTACTTGGCGATTCCATCGTATGGGAAGTCCAGGGTGACTCTCTCAGAGGGTATAGGCTAAGTGGCAGGCATGGTAGAAGGCTCAGGAGTGTGTGTGTGTAGATAGATAGGTAGGTAGGTAGGTAGGTAGATTAGATTAGATAGATAGATAGATAGATAGATAGATAGATGATAGATAGATAGATAGATAGACAGACAGATAGATAGATAAATGTATATATATATATATATATATGTTACAAAGAAGAGAAAGTCCGAGTGGAGTTTTACAGAGAAGGGTTTTGTTCCAGAGTGAGGAGGTGGGGATGAGTGGGGGTGGTGTAGGAAGCTGGTGGAGGGTCCATCCCTTTTGAAAGCATGAACCCAGCCCCACTGTGGGGTAGGGCGAGGGGGTACAAAGAGGAGAAAGCAGTCTGGGGTCCTAGAAGACCAGGCAAGTTAAGGTTGAGGGACTGCTGACCTGGGGCAAGGCTGCTCTCTGACCTGGGGGCACCTGGATGATTTCCCAGGCTTGAGTCAGCAAGGGCCTGTGAAGCAGCCCTGGCCCTCCATCCCCCTTGTGAGGCTTACTTCCTGGGTCTCTCAGGGAAGGGGCTCTTGTGCTGAACCACTTCAGACATTCACTCAGATCACCACAACTGCCCACCCTTCCCCCCGCGGCACTTTCCCACCTCACCTAGGCCTGCAACCAGAGACCGGCCTGTGTTTCCCTCCCCACCAGCTGCCCCGGGTCTTCCTTCCCTCCCTCCCTACCGCTGACACGCGGAGTCCTTCCCCGCAAGCACTTCATCCTTCGGTGCACCCGCGGGGCTAGCAAAGTCTCAACTCTGAGTGAACTCAAGTGCCCGCCTTGTACAGTTTGTCGTCTTGGTGCCCTTGAACTGGCTGTCTGTCTCCTGTCTCAGCCGGGGCTCAGCACTGCCTGGCCGCCGCCCTGGTGGCTGACTTGCTCCCTACAAAACTTCCTTACGCCACTTCATCCCCTCTCACATTCAGTAGATGCCCCCCCTTTTTTTATGGGGGAGAGGGAAAGGCTGTCCCAAATGTATTGAGACCATCTAGTCTCTCTTTAGGGCGAAGCGCAAAAGAGAAATACAATTGGTCACCAAAAGAAAACTGCGAAGTCCCATCCAGACACGAGGAGGTCTCAGATCTTGGCGCAGACGGCATGCCAAGTGACACCGGAGTTTAGCAGGCTGCTTTAGACGCCGCCGTCGTTTGGGTTCTTGGCTGCCACCCCCAAGACCACC